CGAAGAGATGTATATAAAAAAAAAGGGGGGGAGATATGGGGAGAAGTCTTTATATAACTTACCACCATTGTGTGGGTGGCAGCTCGGGCTCCGAGCTAAGCAGGAGTGAGGTCGGCCCAAACGGAGACCTCTTCGGCATAGACAGCCCCCTTGCTCTTTCGAAGGTTGCACTGAGGGATCAGGATGCTCCGGACTCCCTCTTGACTCCCCGAGCTGGAAATAGCCATCTTGGTTGTGCGAATGGGCTTAGCGGAAGCTTCAGCCGCTGCGTCAGCGGCCTCGGTGGCGACCTCGGGCTCCACAACTGCCTTGGGAGCAGGCTCTGCCGATGTCTCGAGCTCCCGAGGTGGTAAGATCTCCTCCAAATCGATGACCGGAGGTACATCAGGGAGCTCAGGCTCAGAGGTAGGAGCCTGCGAAAGCTCAGGCTCGGAAGTGGGGGCCTGCGGACACTCGATGCGAGCCCTCTTAGCAGTTCGCTTCTTCCTCCCTTTCATATGGCTGAAGAGCCTCTCCCCCTTGAGCTTCCCTTCTTCCATGGATCCTGCAATAAAGCTCGGCGTCAGCAAACTCAGAGGTACAAACCACAAAGGGAAAATGTTTTAACTCTAGGTAAGACGACCTACCCGGGCTCAAACCGGCCTGAATGAGCTTGCTCTCGGTGATATAATCCTTGTAATTAAACCCGAGCTCAGCCCATGACTGGAGCATCTCCCTTGTCTTCTTGTCCAGGATAACCCCGGGGTCTTGAATAGCCACCCTCCAGTGAGTAGGGAAGGGCCACCCCATGGTGTTCAGGACTACAAAGTAGTCCTGCTTCCAGGTTGGATTGCTAGGAAACTTATGCAGTAACTTGAAACCCGGGCGAGGGGACAGGTAGTAGGCCCACCTGTGCTCGGGGAGAACGCTTGAAGCGCTCTTCTTTATTGAGAGAATCGAGCAAAAAATGTCTAAGTTCAAAGAGAGGACGTACTCGAAGCAGAGGGAAATAGTCACGACCACATTACGAACGGAGTTCGGGTGAAGCTGGTCTATTGTGACGTTGAAGTGGTTCAGGACCTCTACGATAAGAGGGTGGAAAGGAAGACGGAGCCCGGCTATAAGCTGCTCCCGGAAGATCACGACCTCGCCGGGACCGTGCTCCCATGGGAAGTTACCCACATGTAGACTGTAGGTATACTCCCCAGGTAGATTGTACTGCCGGATGAGGTATCGAAGCCTCTCCAGGGTCATAGTGGAGGGACCGAACCTATCCGACATCCGACCTCGGTGAGAGGTGGATGCCAGATTACTCGATGCCTCTCGTGCCTCGTGAGACTGGACTTCGGTGGGGTCACCCTGAGCCGAGGTACCCACCTCGGGCTCATCCATTTGGCTATTGAAACTAGACATAGTGAAGAAAATGAAAACGAACTGGAAGGAAAGGAAACTGAAAGAAAAGCTAAGGGGACTCACCAAGGAAAAACAACCGAACTGGGGAGAATTGACCCAAGCTGGAGACCTTAGATGCGAGCTCAAGACGAATGCTGAGAACCTATGGCGAGGGAAGAATGATCAGGACCCCCGCTATTTATAGCCATTGTACTTTGGCATCAACGGTCAAGATCAAGACGATATGACGGCTCTCAAGAAAACCAGCTACGCAACCCCCGAGGCAAAATCAGTTTAGCACGTTTTTTGACGTTCGTGGAGTCCATAGATCTCGTGACGTCCGCGCGTAGACTGTACGCAACCCGGGTCACCCTTGATTGAGCCGAGCAGTGAACTGGTCTGACCAATAAGCAGCCTGACCAAAAGGCCAGAGCTCCGAGCCAAATCCACCCGGCACACCGCGGACTCCCCGCGCTAGGTCAGAACCCCCAGCACAGGGAGTGGGGGAGCAATTGATGGAGGGTGATTTGGCCCAACCTCGTAGCATGGGGACACGTGGGTACAACCTGTCATAAGTGACAACTCAGCGTGGCAGCTTAGCCATAACTCAGCGTAATGAACTCGTCGGAGCCCGGCGATACAACTCAGTGGACGTGGCAACTCACCGAGAAGAAGCATCCAGCTTACCCCGAGCTCCCTCCAAGCGAGGACTCCCGAGCTCCTCCCAAGACCCGAGCTCCTCCCAGCGGGCCCCGAACTCTTCCTTCCTGAGAAGGGAACACCCCGGTCTACGGGTAAGTATCCCGAGCCCCATTAACACTCCTACCCATACTTGCCTAAGGTTCGCCTCAAGCATAAGCACTTCGGCGTACCCCCAGCACCCCGGCGTAAGGTAGCTCGGACCAAGGCAGTTCGGTGCAAAGTAGCTCGGCAACCTGCAGGAAATATCTGCCTGACAATAGTACCTGCCAAATCTGGGGGCTGCGCCACGTCTCTTGTCAGGCGGCAGCGTGCCTGCCACTTTTGCCAGATGCGGCACGCCTGACAAGTCCGTACCCTACAATGGCTACTTGCATCCGCCACCTAGGCTCTGGCAGTAACGGATGTGGCAGAGGCGGTTACACCCGATTTGAGAGATCTCTAATATAAAAAGACCCCGACCCTCGAGGAGCCAAGGTATTAAACTTGCGCCATCTGCACTCTTAGCCCTCTCTTTGTATTCTTCAGTTCTCTCAGAGTTCTAACTTAAGCATCGGAGTGTTCCCGCCGGGCGAGCTCCCTGGGAGTTCTTCACCTTCCTCTTCGTCTCAGGTACCGTCCGTCACCAGCTAGGAGTCAGGTTTCCGCCAGTTAGGAGTGCCCGGATCGCGCTGCATCACCACGTCTAAAGAATAGTTTCAATTTGATTTTCACAGCATATGAGTGCACAAGTTATCATCTAAGACGAGATTATAAAACCAAAAGTGAACTCACCAACTTGATTTCGTTATTTTGCCAAGTGAGTGGAGATCTAGGATCAAAGCCCTCTGCCAATAGGGTTTGAGAGGTGTTAGCCAGTAGCCCCATGAATCGAAAAATGAAATGCTTTATTTGTTTTTATATTGTGCTTATAAAAGACTTATTTTATACGTTATTAACAAAGTCTCAGTGCCTGCTCCATATATTAAACAACTATGCTTATAATTATCTTCAATGAAGATGTCAATTAGCGCCATGTTTGAGAGTATTTATGTTAAAAACAAGTGTTTATTCGAATAAGCATTTATTTGCATTTGGCATCCAGCTTTTTCAAGTGCTAAAATAAGCATTTAATTCATATTGGGCATTTGGTTGTCATTTTCTCCAATAAGCAATTGTGACTCTTTTGTCCTTTATTTTCTTTCAAACTTTCAAAATACCCAATCCAAAGTGAATAAATAAAAGTACTTTGATAGAAGTGCTTTTATAAAAGTACTTCCGTAAAAATACTTTTATAAAAGTACTTCTATAAAAGTGTTTTCATAAAAGTGTTTTTATAAAAGCACTTCCGATAAGTGCTTTCCTAAAAGTGTTTTCACAAAAATGATTTATAAAAGTACTTTCGTAAAAGTGCTCTTGTAAAAGTACTTTCATAAAAGTGTTTTCATGTAAAAGTGCTTTCTTAGAAATACTTTTATAAATGTGCTTTCGTAAAAGTACTTTCATAAAAGTGTGTTTTGTAAAAATGCTTTACTTTCATAAAAATGCTCTACTTCTATAGAAATAGGTTTCATAAAATTACTTTTATAATAGTGCTTTTGTAAAAGGGTATAATTGATATTCTATAAATTTACCGAGAACAATTCTAGGAGAACAAATTTGAATAAGTGCTTATTATATGAGCACTTAAAAAAATGGAAATTTGGGCTTAAAAAATAAGCCCTTATTTTTAAAATAAGCACTTATTTCAAGCTTATTTCCCAAACACGAATAAGTGCTTAATGGTGTGGTCTCCATCCAAATAAACACTTATTTTAAATAAGCACTTATTTTTAAGCACTCCCAAACATGGCCTAAGTCTATTTTTTTAAGTCAAAAAAAGCTCTTTTAGTTTGGAGTCCTAATCTTAATTGGATACAAATTTTACACCTGATTTAGTTTTGCATCTTTTATTGATTTGCACTTTTATCAAATGCATAATTTCCAATTTTTCTCATTTGCACTTTTTGGCATGGTTTTCGAAACCGGACCGGACCTGACGGCCATACAGGAAAAATCGGGAACCGGTGACCGGTTCCGTTTTCCCCCAAAACCGTTGATTTTGGTCAACAAACCACTGAACCGGCCGGTTAACCATTCAAACGATTTTGACCGTTTTTCAATTTTTTTAAGTTTTTTATTTTTTTATCAGAACTAACCGGCCATTCGAGTCAAATCGTTCGACCCAATAACCGGACCCTTGACCGGTTCAGTCACCGGTTCATTTTTAAAAACCATGCTTTTTGGCATTGCAAGTTTTGCATTTAAAAAATTAATGCAAAATTTATACCACCTTTGTTCTGCATTGATTCTCTCTCACATATAGAGACCTGTTCGTGAGCTAGAATTTATCATCTTTTTTATAGATTTAGAGAATTTAAATTAAGATTTTGGATGAAGAAAGGTATTTTTGCTTAATATAGTCGTAGTTTACTTGCCACTTACCACTGAGGAAAAAGAAATGAGGTAGCAAATTGGCAAAATGATGTACTCATGTCGGTGGACATTTCAGGTCATTTGGTTGAGTAAAATAGGAATTACAAAAAAAAAAAATTGCACGCTTCAGCAAGAGAGAGACTCAACAACCCAGTTTTTGTCCAACTCGACGAAGAATCTCGTTAACCAAGAGTTTATATTTATAATCTCGTCAACCCTCGTCAGATTAATAATCCATTCCAAAACAAAAACATAAAGAAAAAGGTTTTTGCCCTTTATTTAAACTTGCAAGCTAAGGACCAATCAGTGGCACATCTATAGTTATAGACACCGAGTAAAGTAATAATAATCGACCAACCAACATACTACTACACTGTATCTCGTCAAATCTTTTTGCCTACGCCAGATATCGTTAGCGTGCCTATAAATAACAATTTTTTGTTTGAGGGAAGGAGTTGTTCATTTTGACCTCTCTCTCTCTCTCTCTCTGCTCCTTCCTGTATGCTGTATGTGTGTAAAATAATGGCTTGCAGTGAGAATTTCTGTAGCAATTATCTTGTTCTGAGCCCGAAAAATGCAAGTTTGGTCGACATCTTCCGCCTTCTATTCTCATCAAATCTGGAGAATAGAAGATTTGTGGACTGCCCCAAAGACACGGAGGAGACAGAGTTTCGGCGACGTCAGATCATTTTTATCTCTGTCATTGCACAAAAAGTTCTCCTCTTCATGGCAAAACCCATGTCTTGGGTCGGATCGGTGTTCGAGAGGTGGCTCAACCTTTTGTCAAGTAACCGCAATTTGGCCGTGCTCTTGCTAAACCTCGTTAGAGGTGAGTCTGTGATTTCGCCTTAATTTATGCTCTCCACCCATAGCCCCATACTATTACGTACCAATAGCTAACAGTAATCCTAGCTAGCTAGTTATCGCACTCGCATTCCACAAATTAAGATGGATCACTCACCTTGCTCAAGCACGGTGACGAATCGAGCATCCATCACGTTAATGAACTGGCCACTGGGTAACCAATACTAACATATATACATATAGAGAGAGAGAGAGAAAATGACCGGACCTTGCGGATTAACAGCCCATGAGTCCATTTGTTGACCTGATCATCTCGCCCGCTTGTCCAGAAAAATTAATAAAAGAAACCCAACCGTGGGAAGCAACTGATCCCCCAAGCATGTGAGAATGCTTTTACTTACTGATTAAATAATTGAAAAGGCAAAGTGGAATTCTGAATTTTCATATGTCAAGCCCATTTAACTATCATTCTAGCATCTAGATTTAATTGGTTTTCCTCCATTTTTAATCCATACAACATTAACTAATACAACCTTTGTTAATTATGTATTCTATGGCCGGTGTAGCTAGCTGGCCATAATGCACCAAAACCATGGCACTCCTAATATAATTATTCTTAGAGCCCAATTGCTGGAATTGTACCTTTTCAGTTCCATGGTCGCTATCACCGGCGATGATTGGTTACCACTCAATTTTAGTTTACATATCCATGCAATTGATTCTTTTCTTTTTATTTTTTATTTTTTTTCCTTTTTCTTATAGAGAAGAAGCCCCTATGACTATGAGAGCCTGAGAGGTACTAATAAAGAATCAATATTAGGTAATAGATGCTTCCAGTTCCGTCAATTGGGCTTCAAAGAGTGAGCCCATCATGTACATACATAATGGGGTTAAGCGATTGTCTGTTTCGGATTTTTCAAAGTTTTCCTATATATAGTGTTGTAAAGCATATAATATCATCCCATATTTGAGAACTGCTCGAATCGAATTATAGCAAGTTTCAGGGTTCGGGGTTCCTTCCACCTTTGTCTTTACGCATTTTATGAGTTTGCCCGCCAAAATCAAAATCATTTAATTCATTTGTCCCAATATACTAGTATTATAGAATTTAACTTCTTTCTCTAACATGCCCCGGGCCTTTTTTTAAAGGTAATTTCTTTACATTCATTTTCTTCATTTGAAAAATTATATATACGTGCATGCACTCAAGTTTCAATGGCCGAAAAAAAAATTATAATAAATTGTATTGTTTTGGCTCAGTTTGAAAGGAGTATAAATATAAATATGTACCGTACAAATAGAATAATACAAAATACAAGGTTTTGCATTCTATATATATATTTGTATTTGTATCATGATTTTAAAAAACGAACTGAAAATAGAATCGCTCTGGCCACCAGTTTTTGGATTGATGGTTTGACTGTTGGGTTCAAATGGACGATCTATTCTGACAAAAAAATTAAAAAAAGGCCAAAATTATTGAATGGGTCAGCGGGTCGGTGGTTCGACCACCCAGGTCAACAGGTCATTAACTGATTTAACGGTTTTTAGCTAAGGACCGAGTTTGGGGTAAAACGGAACAGATTACCCGGACGGTTTCCAAGCCAAATGATCCAACCGTCCGGATCAACGACGGTTCGAAAACCATGATTTGTACTTCTTCCAAAGTGAGCTTTAGTATATATTGGTAGGACCTGATTTCCTCCTTACAGTAATTGATTAATTGCAGTTGTGCACTAGAAACATCTCTCCATGAGTGAAAACATACAAATACAAGAACTGTTTCAAATGTGTGGTTGCAATATTCTGTGAGGTGGGTGTGAGGAGGAAGTCCAAACTCCTAACGGTAATGAATATAGGTGATTTCTAGTATTGATTTAAGCCATGGAGAAAATAATATAAATAGCATCGGGAATAGATGCAAAATGTAATATAGTTGGGCACATAAGAATGTGTATCATAGAAGTGAGAACCAATCAACTGGTATTTATCAATATTCATGTGGGATTTTGTTTGATCAAAATTTCTTCTGGTATGACCTCCTCATATATATATATATATACCTCCATTTGTATCGACAACTTTAAGGAATGTGTGTATATATACGTATATTGGATTGTAAACTTGCTGTGATGGCGTGTACACATTATATATGTATATAGGGAATGTAGTGGTGCCCGATGAAACATCCGCAACTTTCACATCAACAATTGGAAATTTAGACAAGCGAGTGGAGTTGGATAGCAGCATCACCCATGAAAATAACAGATACTATGCAGCGCTCTCCATAATGGCTGCTAAACTAGCCTATGAAAATGAAGCATTCATCCAATCCATAATCACACATCATTGGAAGGTATACTTTCGTTTATTCATGCAGCATCCATACAATGTCATATGATGATGTAGCTGTTAAAGAACAAAAACTTCACCTTACAGCTTAAATTTTTAGGCTTAATGCTTCTTTTGACATGGCACCAAAATCTATTTGATTAAATGGCTTAGTGTTCAATGCTTGAAACCCTCAGTGTAATTAATTAAACTTCAGACTTTCAGAGCTTGTGCTGAAGTTTAATTAATTATAATGGCAAATCAGAGCAGAAATTAGTCTCTGAAATGGGGCCCCGTTGGTTCATGAAAACAATTTGGGAACCTGAACCAGACCAAAATAGTATGCTAAGGATACAAGCAATATTCCATATGTATGGTATAAAATGCATTTGTAGGTATCTCTGTAGCATTTTTTTTCTAAATTAATCTTCTGACGTTTTGTGACATTTTTTTATTATATAATTTATGTCATGATGGTTATTGCTTGGTTAATGTAGAACATTTCCGATGGTTAAGTCCGAGTTTCAAAACACTTTGGATTCAACTTTTGGGTTTTAAAAAGGACGTTTTACATACATTCCAATTAAGAATTAAGGTCAATTGGGCTGTTAACTTACATGCCTTCAGATATTAATGCAAAGAGAAGGCAAAATTTTTCAAATGTTTCACTATCTATCGATCCAAAATAAAATATATTTTTCAGTGGCGCCACTGCCAATCAAAGAGTACCATTTCTCTATTGTCTAAATATGTATTTATATACATACAAAATATAACCCATTTTCTAATGTATCCTTCAATTGATTTACTGAATATGTTGGACATGGAACTTTTGTGAGTGTGTACAGATGAAGTTTATCGGATTCTACAATTTCTGGAATGGTAAGAAATTCGATCCGAAATATATTATTATTATTATTTATGGGGACGCGCTATCCCCTTCTTGATTTCTATCAAAAAAAGAAAAAAAGAAATATATTATTTTTCTTTTTCTCCAGATTTTGGGGGACTGTTTGGACAATTTTACCAAAATTAATGTTACTGGGTCCCTTGCATCTTGTTAAAGATTAAAGTATGGGCTCTGTTACATCCAGTGCCCAGTGGGGCACATGGTCCAACCCAATTATCAAGACCTAAGGATTAAGCCTCTTAGGCCTTGTTTGATTGGAAGGAAAAAGTAGGGAAAGAAAGGGAAAGACAGGGAAATTTATACAAGTTAGGTTTGTACAGGTTTCCCTATCTTAATTTCCCTTCCCTTCTTTACCTTTTCCTTCAAACCAAACATAGCATTAGTGTTTTTGAACTATCCTTGATCTGGAGGGTTGGACAATTTATCTTGGGAACCATCCAAGTATAACCAGATTCATTTCACCCTTAATTCATTTTTTGGCCAAAATCCATTGACTTGGTCAGCAATCCACCCATACAGGAAATTGAACTGTTGATCCATTTGACCTAAAGAATGATTGTTTTTTTTTAAATTTAGAATGAACTGTCCATTCAAACTGGACAGTCAAATCAGTGGCCAAAATGGTTTTGATTCCAAATCAGTTGCCCAGGCAATGGGAAAGAAACGATTTTAATTTTGGAAATTAGAACAAATTAATTTTAGGGCATGCATCCATGAACAAAAAGATGAATTAATAAGTAATTAAAAGCTGACGGTGGTTGCAGATTATCAGGAGTCATTCTCAACACAGGGCTTTATGTTCCATGTTGAACAGCCCGAGTTGATTGTGGTGTCCTTCAGAGGCACTAGACCATTCGATGCAGATGCATGGCGAAGCGATGTTGATATCTCCTGGTATGAGATCCCTGAGGTGGGAAGGGTCCATGGTGGCTTCATGAAAGCGTTGGGTCTACAAAAAGGGTCGGGTTGGCCTAAAGACATAATCCAACCAGCTGCAACAGCTGCAGAGGGAAAACAAAACCAACATCCCTTTGCTTATTATGCTATAAGAGGAAAGCTGAGAGACATGCTGCGAGATAGAGAAGGAGCAAAGTTCATTTTGACAGGACACAGCCTGGGTGGAGCACTAGCCATTCTCTTTGCAGTGGTTCTGGCATTGCATCAAGACGAGTGGATGTTAAAGAGATTAGACGGGGTGTACACGTTTGGGCAGCCTAGGGTTGGTGATGAGAAGCTTGGAAAGTTCATGGAGTCACAGTTGCGTTCTTATGGTGTCAGATATCTCAGGTTTGTTTACTGCAACGACATGGTGCCCAGGTTGCCTTATGATGATTCCACTCTCATGTTTAAGCACTTTGGAACATGTGTCTACTATAATAGCTGCTACCAAGGCAAGGTACATATATGTATGAACGTCTCTCTCTCTCTCTATCTCATTTCTCAACCCTCAACACATGCATTAATAACACAAGTTAAATGAAAATGCATGTCCTTGTGATATATATACAGATACTGCAGGAAGAACCAAATAAAAATTACTTCTCGGTACTGATGGTGATGCCGAAGATCTTGAATGCATTTTGGGAGCTGATCAGGAGTTTCACTATTCGATTCAAAAGTGGAGCTGATTATAAAGAAGGAAGCTTGTTGAGATTGTTTAGGATGATGGGGTTGATAGTGCCGGGAGTATCAGCTCATACTCCTCAAGACTATGTTAATGCCACTAGATTGGGATCCTCGCGTTTATATGATCAACTCCAGGGTCTCAAACTTGAATGAAATATGAATTATACTTGTCTAAAAAAAAAAACCTTAACTGAGTGAAGCATAAAGACCGTATCGTGTTATTGTTGCCAATATTCTTTAGTAAGCATTTTTTTATAATAATATCATTGAACTCTTTTTTCTCCTTTTTTTTAGTGAATATAATTGAACTCTCATGATCATGGTCGCATCACTATGGAATGTGTATAATTAGAAGAGCCAGCAATTAGCAAAGGAGGAATTGGCGCTTCACCAAGTTCACTCACGTTAACGTGGACGTAGTAACCAATGGCATTTTAGAAATAAACTTAATTTATGGCCCGTTCCTTCTTTTGGTAATTTCAGTCTTCACTTTTCGATATGTTGTAGGCCCGTGATAAATAATTTTTTCTTAAGGCCCTGTTTCTTTTACTTAATTACCTAGGGTTTACTTAGTTTGGAAGGATTATAAATATATACAAATGCATACAAAATATTATAAAATGTAAGATTTTGTACTCTATAAATTAATTTGTATTTGTACTCTTTCCAAACTCAGCCTAGGTAAAATTTGTAAGATTCCATTGTTTTTATATATTATAAGTTATTCAGATAGAGTACTGGATAATTTGTTTATTCACCTTGTAGAAGGGTATCAGTTCTAGTTATCACCGTGGAACCCAATATGGCGGATTGGCGGCAAAGAAACACGAGTATTGGGGTCAACTTACTAGTTTGACAAACTTAACCCCATCTACTGTATACCACGAACAGGGTCTAAGTGATATCCACCTAGGAAGTGGATAGATAATTTTTCCACCAAGGGGAAAAAGTGACAAAACATAGCCTAAATGGCACATTTAAAAGTTCCAGCTCTAAAGTGACTACCCCTAAAGTACAACATACCTATTGCCATTTACCCTAATATATAGTATCTAATTAATTCAATTTAATCTATTTTTTATCAATGAAATATAATATTTAAGTCATTTTTAAAAGGATAAATTACAGTTACCCACCATGTACTTAGGGGTAGTGGCACTTAGCACCCAAAACTTTGTTTTGAGACAAAAGACACCTTGAACTTTTAAGGCCTCATTCATTTAACGCTATGTTGGTGTGGGAAAGTTGGTTAATGGAAAATTTGACCAATTTTTCCATGTTCTTTTGCAAATACATGTGAGGCCCATGAAAAATACAGATTCCCCCGGGTAAGTTCAAAGCCATTACCTAGGAAAATCTTACCCACCTCAAAGGTGGGTAAATTTACTTTCCCATCGTGGGGTGATTTTGTTCAATCGAAAATACCCTTGTGCTAACAAGCTTAGGGCAAACATTAGCTTCTTCCCCAAACTCCTGTTCAGGAAGAACATCCACTGCCAAAAAGAACCCCATACCTCTGCAATTCGTGGAATACGCTTTTACTAAGTCCACCAGTAAGTCTTCTTATTCCCCTTATTTTTTTCCTTGCAAAGAACTGTAACTGTCCTCCACCCCTTTAACCACGAGCTCTCACTTCTTCATATGGTTGATGGTATTTCTTTCCCTGCAAACACATGGCGATTCTGCAATATTGACACTAAAAGAGAAGAAATAAAGCTGAAAAAGATAGAAAGAGAGGAGGAAGAAAAGAAAATCCACTGGGGAAAAGGAGAGTGAGAGGGGAAGGAGGAGCAGTGCCACTCAGCTTTTTGTTTTAATGTTGGTTTTTCGTTTCTGTTCCTATTTTTGTTTATGGGTCTTGTCTTCACCTGGGTTTTGAATCTTTTTCTGTGTAGCAGTAGTAGAAAGTAGAGCTAAGAACTATTTTTGCTAATATACTGGGGAAAGAACGAAGGAGAGATAAAAGGCAAAGGAAAGAAGAAAAGAAAGCATAAAAATACAAGCTTTTTCTGTTTGCTTGTCGATTCACATCTTTCGATCATGAAGCTTGTTTCTATGAGGGTTCCGATGGAAAGTGATTCTTGTCATTAAAATTGGGGAAGAAAATACTTGAACTATTTGTCGATTCAAGTCTGATGGCAATTCTGTTTCTTATTTGTTATTTCTAGCATAGTTGCATGAGATTACCATTTTATTTGATACTAGGAAGCATGAGATTACAATTTTGATCATACATAGTATAAAAGTTAGTTGATTTTCTGCTCCAGAACAAAGTTATATTTTGAAAAAAGATAATGAACTATTAGGAAGCATAGTTCAATGTGTTCTACCTTCAGTTTGAGCTGCTTTGTAATTTACTTTAGAAATTTTGTAAGCATTTATGCATTTTTTTTATTTTTTTTGGCACATATATTTTCAAACTAATTTAACTAGTTTGAATTTCTTTCCATCTTAAATTGTTTTTATTCTAATAATTTCTTGCATGTCTAATTTGAAAAGCATGCCTTAGTCATCACTATATTTTATGTAATTGAATGTAATGATGTTTTGCAAAGACATGCCTCCATCACTAGTAAATAGGAATCAAAAGAAAAAGTTGGTTGCAAATGCTATTTCTATTCATTATGAAATGATGATGCAGTATGCTTATTTATGTATTTTGATTGCTATTATCATTACAATTAGGAGGAAAAGGATGATGGTCTCTAGGATATTGAATAGTTATGATGAAGAGGGGATTGGTAGAGAATCATGAGAGGAAAGGCTTGCAATTAGGTTTTCAAACATTAAGTCCATGGTCATGGAATCAGATCAATCATGTATAGACCATATACGAATGGATAAGACTAGTTATTTGAGGCTATGTAAGTTACTAAGGAGTGTAGGAAAATTAAGAGGTAATAAACATGTGGGAGTGGAAGAAATGGTTGCATGCTTCTTAAACATTCTATCACATGATATCAAGATTAGGGAACAAAAATGGCACTTTAGGAGGTCTAGGTCCACCTTAAGCAAGTACTTCATATGGTCTTGAATGCAGTGTTATACCTACACGAAATCCTTCTTAAAAAGCCTGAACCTGTGCTTGCAAACTCGTTTGATGAGAAATGGAAGTAGTTCAAGGTGTAACTATTTTTTATTTATTTTTTTCTTTTTCATTACAAATAGCAAACCTTTAAAGGTTAAGAATTTTTAATTTTCTCTCTCTTATTTTATTGTATAGGGTTGTTTAGGGGCTTTAGATGGAACATATATTAGGGTCCTAGTGTCTGAAAAGGATAAGCCTAAATATCGAACAAGGAAGAACAAAATTGCAACAAATGTATTGGGTGTTTGTTCTCTAAATATACAATTCATTTACATCTTACCTGGCTGGGAGGGATCTACTCATGACACTAGAGTCCTTCGTGATGCCATTTCAAGGAGAAATAGCTTAAAAGTACCACGAGTTAAAAAATGAACCATGAGAATTAGGACACTAGAGCAAAAAATTCATATATTGATGTTTAAGAAACTAATATGTGTTGTCATATTTGTTTAGGTTATTATTACTTGTGTGATGTTGGGTACCACAACAATGAGGGATTCCTAACACCTTATAGGGGTCAAAGATATCACTTAAATGAGTGGAAGCAAGGGCACCAACCAAGCACCACAGTGAGATATTCAACATGAGGCATTCTGTAGCTAGGAATGTAATTGAGAAGACATTTGGTCTCTTAAAAATAAGGTGGGCAATACTTAGGACCTCAACTTGGTATCCAATAAAAACCCAGTGTAGGATCATCAGTGCATGTTGCCTCTTACACAATTATATAAGGAAAAATATGTCAATTGACCCCACGGAATCAAGAATTAAAAATTTCTTAACCACTAAAGGAGGTTCACAAAGTGTAGCAGAGGTTGATGAACAAATCACAAGTCTAGAGAGTAGCAATGAATGGGCTGCATTCAAAGACAACTT